GAGATACCTTTTTGCATGGTATAATTTGACAGCCAGTCCTTGTCTTCAGGCTACGGGTAAAATCAAGATTCTGCTGATATATTTTTGTTACGCATTTCATTCTAAGATTAGCAAGACCAATCTGTCTTCTGGGTTCAGCTATCTTGGCGCTTCAAACTTGATACTGGGCACTGGCAGCATAGTGTTGCCCATGCTGCACGTGTCATGATTAGGGCTTTATCTTCACAGATGAGGCAGTCTCACTAATTGTGTGTGCTCGTTGAGGTTAGGTTCAGGCTTAGACTGCTTTTTCACAGAACCCAAGGTTTCATGAACAGGCAGTCTTTCTACTAAGACAGCAGATAATGAGTAATATGGTGTGGAGGAATATTCAGCTTCAGTTTAGTCCCCAGACTCGGCAGCAGCAATTGATGAGAGGAAGGGCACCAAAGGAAGCGTTTGATTTAGCACTTCCACTGGGAAGCTGCTACCCTCAAGGAGTCGCAAATACCTTGTTTCCTCCCTGCTATTTTCCCACAACATCCCAGCGAGCAGTAACAGAGCAAACACTGCAGCCTCGCCGGGCCACAGCTTTTCCCACTGGCACAAGAGGGAATCAAGAAATTATGTTCTGCTTTTGATTGTGTGCATAACGTCTGGTAGTTATTCAAACATGGTCATGGTACAGCGAAGCAAAGATACTTCAACTGATTACACAAAGCATAACTCCAAGGTAATTTGCAAGTCTTGCTTTGCTGGCTTGACAAACTGCAATACAGGGAAGCAGGATCATAATGAATGCCAGTGATAGAAAATTATTTGGTTTTATCTGAAGTGCTGGCTTTATATACTTGGGAGAGGGCTATTTCTGTTATTATCGATGGCAATGGATGCCAAAGCAGCGTGAGGAGCACCAGCAGTGGTGGCAGCAAGCAGTAGCGGGACACACGAGGAGAGATACACATGGACCAATAGAGGCTTGACCGAACAGGGGGCGTTCCCCCAGTAACTGACCCCAGACCCACTGACTGGATGAGACAGCAAGGCACGGAGCCTGCACCTGGCAGTGTGGGAGATTTGAGCAGGTGAAAACAACCAGCCCAGCTGATTGCAATGGACGCCGGAGTGGGCAGGCACGCAGCAGCAAAAAGCACTGTCCCCTGCTTCTCCTCAGCTTCTAGCATCTGGTAGAACCAATGCAGCCGCACAGACAGAGCTTCTGTTCAGGCACGCGACCACCAAGGTTTCCAGCTGTGGGACGTGTGAAGGGATATTCCTAGAGGTGGAAAGTGATTGCAGGCAATACTGCAGGGGTGTGACCAGACTGATGAACTGCTCTGCTTGGTGGCTGAGCTGTAGGAGGAAGTGGGCAGACTGAGGAGCATTCGAGAGTTTGAGAGGGAGATTGATGAATGGAGCCACGCTCTGCTATCTATGATGCATAGAAGCCAACTCAGCATGGCCACTATGGAGGCAGGTCCTGGATCTGCTTTGTGCCAGGAGGAAGGCAGTGTCACAAGGGATAAGGAAGGGTGGAAGAAGGTTACAGCACAGAGCGGTAAGAGAAACACCTGTGCAAGCAGTCTTGCCAAGATCAGAGAGCAACTCCTCGCGACAAGACCTGCATTAAGACCAGCGCTGAGAAGAAATGATGGCAAATTATGGTCATTGGTGATTCCCTCCTGTGCAGAACAGAAGCACCCATTTGCAGACTGGGCCCTCTTTTCAGGGAAGTTTACCGCCTCCCCAGGGCCCGAATTAGGGACGTCACCACAAGACTGAAGAGCCTAGTCCAACCTTCAGACTACTATCTGTTTCTGCTCTTTCATGTGGGTACAAATGATGGCGCAACAAGAAGTCTGAGGTCAATCAAAAGAGACTTCAGAACCCTGGGAAGAATGCTAAAAAATTCGGGAGCATAGGTAGTGTTTTCCTCAATCCTCTCAGTAATGAGGGGAGACTTCAGAAGAAACAGGCGAGGCCAGGATATCAATACCTGGCTCCAGGACTGGTGCCTGCGCCAAAACTTTGGGTTTTTAAACCATGGAAGAGCCTTCAAGAGACAAGGCCTGTTGGAGCCTGATGGGATCCATCTGTCCTGATGGGGAAAATGGGTCTTTGGGTGTAAGCTGGCAGGACTGATTGAGAGGGTTTTAAACTAGAATTGATGGGGGAAGGGGATACCAACAGGATTGCAGTAGGTAAGCCAAGGGTTGGCATGGCATTGCCAGAGAGTGGCAGTCCTAGTGGGAACATTTACACTGCTCCCAGAGCACAGAAGGCTCAGGAGCATATCTGAAATGCTTGTACACCAACACACGCAGTATGAGAAACAAACAGGATGAACTGGAAGCATTGGTCAGCTCCCAGAGCTGCGGTATCATTGATATTAGTGAGACTTGGTGGAATGAGTCCCACGACTGGAGTGCTGGGATGGAGGGCTACAGGCTGTTCAGGAGGGGTAGGCAGGGCAGGCGAGGTGGAGGTGTCGCAGTATACGTAAGGGAGAGGTTTGATTGCACAGCCCTTACGGTTAGTGATGATGTGTTTGAGAGCCTCTGGGTAAGGATTAGGGGGATGGAAAACAAAGGAGATGTTGTAGTGGGTGTCTACTACCGATCACCCAGCCAGGATGTAAACACTGATGAGTTATTCTATAGGCAATTAGGAGAAATGTCTGGATTTGTAGCCCTTGACCTCATGGGAGATTTCAACTTCTCAGAACATCAACTGGGAATATCATACTGCTGTGACAAGCAGGTCTTGGAAATTCTTGAAGTCTGTAGGGGAGAACTTCTTGCCAGAGCTACTCAGTAAGCCATCTAGAAAAGATGCCCTCCTAGACTTGCTGTTTGTGAATAGAGAAGGACTCGTGGGGGATGTGATGGTAGGTGGCTGTCTTGGCCACAGTGATGGTGAAATGGTTGAGTTTAAAATTTTCAGTGTGATGAGAAAAAAGGGCAGCAGAGTTGCTACCCTGGACTTCAGGAGAGCAAACTTTAAGCTATTCAGGGAGCTATATAACAGAGTACCCTGGGAATCTGCTTTTGAGGGCTTAGGAGTCCACGAGTGCTGGTCAGTCTTTAAGAACCACCTTTTAGAAGCACAGAAGCAGGCAATTCCACTGTGTCGTAAGTCAAGCACGTGAGGCAGAAGACCAGCTTGACTGAACAGGGAACTTCTCGTGGAGCTCAAGAGGACAAATAAACTGTATGATCTCTGGATGTGAGGTCAGGCTTCGCTGGAAGATTACAGAGCTGTAGTTCGTTTATGCAGGGAGAAGACATGAAAGGCCAAAGCTCAATTAGAGTTGAAATGGCCAGTGTTGTTTCAGATAACAAGGACTTTTTAAAGTACATTAATAGCAAGAGGAGGTCTAAAGAAAACATTAGACCAATACTGGTTGAAGATGGTCATCTAACTAATAGGGATGAAGAAAAAGCAGATGCATTTTTTGCCTCAGTCTTTAATAATACTGATAGACCTTGGGCTGCCTGGTCCCCTGAGTCAGAGGACCATGAGTGTGGGAACAGTGACTTTCCATTTGTGGACACTGAAATTGTAAGGGACCAGCTGTATCAGCTGAATGTTCAGAAGTCCACGGGGACTGATGGGATTCACCCCAGAGTACTGAAGGAGCTAGCAGATGTATGGCAGGACCCCTCTTGATCATCTGCCAAAGGTCTTGGGAGCCTGGAGAGGTCCCTGCTGACTGGAAGCAACTGTGGAATGAACGGGTTTATGGTGTGCTGCGTGAACAACTGGCTGAAGGGCAGAGCTCAAAGGGTTGTGGTGAACAGGGCTACATCTGGCTGGTGACCGGTCCTCAGAGGTGTTCCTTGGGGTTCAATTCTAGTTGAATTGAATGGCCAGTTCCATTCAATATATTTATCAACAATCTGGATGCAGGAGTTGAATGCACCATTAGGGGCACAAGTATAAATTGGGAGAGGAGTGGCTGGAGAGCAGCCCTGCAGAAAGGGATCTGGGGGTGCTGGTTGGCAGCAGGCTCAATAGGAGCCAGCAGTGTGCCCTGGCAGCCAAGAGGGCAAACCGCATCCTGGGGTGCATGAAACACAGCGCGACCAGCCGGTCAAGAGAAGTGATTATCCCACTGTATTCGGTGTTGGTGCGGCCCCACCTGGAGTACTGTATGCGGTTCTGGGCCCCACCATTTAAGAAGGACGTTCAGGCACTTGAATGTGTCCAGAGGAGGGCAAGAAAGCTGGTGACAGTGCTGGAAGGCATGTGCTGTGAGGAGCGGCTGAGGACTTTGGGCTTGTCTAGTTTGGAGAGAAGGAGGCTGAGGGGCGACCTCATTGCTCTCTACAGCTTCCTGAGGAGGGGACGTGGAGAGGGAGGTGCTGCTCTCTTCTCTCTGGCATCCAGGGGCAGGATGCCTGGGAATGGTTCAAAGCTGCGCTGGGGGGGTTTGGACTGGACATTAGGAAGCATTTCTTTGCCGAGAGGGTGGTCAAACACTGGAACAGGCTTCTTAGAGAGGTGGTCGATGCCCCAAGCCTGTCAGTGTTTAAGAGGCATTTGGACAATGCCCTTAATAACATGCTTTAACTTTTGGTCAGCCCTGTATTGGTCAAGCACTTGGACTACATGATTGTTGTAGGTCCCTTCCAACTGAAATATTCTGTTCTGTTCTATTATCCTAATTGCTTTATCTATCATTATTTGATATCCTGAATTTAATAGAAGGATCTTAATGTATCTTAATTGGATTTAATTCTTTATTAGTTCGCATTTTGGGGCTATAACTGGATCCAGTCGTAGCAGTGCAAATCAGGAGCAACTTCACTGAAGTCCCTGGCAAAATCTGAATGATATGTTGATAAGATTCCATGCATAAAAAGAACAAATTAAATTCCTTGCTCAAAAAGTCTTCATACTGCCTTCGCGTGGGGTATGAATATCTCAGTGTTTTTATTGTTATATTAGATACAGATATATGTGATTGCATCAATACATGCTGTATACAACTAGTGTGTTGTCTGTGTATTTGCTCTTAGTGCAATAGCATCAATCTTACGAGCCTGGCTCGATCAGTGCTCTGAGGATTTCAGAGAGCCACCTGACTACCCGTGTTTGCTGAAGTTGCTGGATTACCTGAAGAGGAATATACCCGGCTCTGACCCGGAGAGGAGGGCACAGAACCTTTTGGAGCAGTTCCAGAACCAAGAAGTGGAAAACGACGGTAAGTTACTTTTCCTTTCTGTCTTTCTGTTCTCCCAGACTGTACTGTACCACAGGGATTTATGTGGAGTACATTTCATCAACTGTCATGCTAATTGACAATATTGTGAGGCTCACCAGTGACTTTTTTTTCTCGTTTCTTTTAAAAAAAAAAAAAAAATCTCTGTACGAGGCTGCAGGTTCTGTGTGGGATGAAATAGTCGCACAGTGTAGGTGCCTATACCTGTTCATTCTGGGGTGGATTGGGAAATCCAGCATTTCTCTAATATTTAGCCGAAGCTTTGAGGTTGCTGCAGTGGTTAATTGTCAGCACACTTCTCATGTCACTGAGTTAAACACACAGCTGGTCTTTAGCTGGTCTTCTCATTTCACCCCCCCCACCCCAAGAAAAACCTAAACCAACAAAAAGCAAAATACAGAGCTGTGACAAAATACAGCGTGAGTCACAAGCCTTGTTGTCATGAAGCTTTTCTTCCTAGTTACCATCATGTCAAAGGAAGTGTCTGTGGCTGTTTTTTCCTATTTGAGTGGCCGGCTGCTGGTATCCAAGGACAGAGGAAAAAATTACGTTATTGGGGGTCACAATCTACTGAAACAATAGTGAACTGTAGTAACACAAATATGCTGTGTGCAGCGTCAAGCCTGACACATACCCTTATCCTGCTCAGAAAGCTTCCTGTGGCATAAGCTGAAAAGTCATAGGAGCTCATGTAGTATGTGAATGAGAACTAGAATCAACTTCCAGCTTTGGTAGAGAGGCGAGAGAGAATAATTCATGTAATAAAGGACAAAGGAAATGACAGGAAAAAAAAAACCCAAAACATTTCATCCCATAAAAATCATGTCTGCCGGATGTTCCAGAAATACCATGTCAATGCATAATACTGTGAAGTGCCAAATTAACTCGGTCATTAACACATACATGAAAAAGAGTACCACACAGAGCTCAGGCATTTTCCTTATTGAACGCAGATAAGTGAACAGGATTGCTAATATGTGCCCATTGATGTCCTTTCCTGGGTTTGGTTCCCACAGGTCAAACAAAGAAAAACCTCACGAGAGCTATATTTGGGTTCATTTGTTGTTCAAAGTGAGCAGAAGTTCCCAGCAGCCCTGCTTCTGCATTTGTTTCCTCAAGTAACAGTTGAAAAAGTTCTTTTCCGAGTTATAGATGGGTCAATTTGAAGGATAACATTAGAATAGAGGCTGTTAATTAGAATAAAATAAGAGGAGGATAACACAGTTAATATGCAGGGTCTGCAGAGAAGAGTTTTAGAGTTGTCACTTTATCAGAGCTCCATCTTTGTTCATTTTGGAGATTTCTTTCAAAACTCTTAACGTGTTGTCTGCAATCAAGACTTGCTGATAATTTTTGTTCTAAAGCATTCATATTGTGCTATGAATTTACAAATTTGGGTCCTAATCCTACAGTTTGATTTGTGTAATCAGACCTCCATTCAGTGCTGCCATCAGCCATGCCAGTAGATTAGATTGCAGTACCAGATACATAGATAAAAGCTGTTCCTCCAGCCTCAGTGCTTGCAGCTTGAGCAATACAAAGCAAGGTGAGTCAGAGACTGCAAATTCAGAAGGGGCACGTGTTTGCTCTCATTGAAGTCAAGAGAGCTGCTGGACTTTGAGAGGGCTAAATGGATCAGAGCGATTTGAAGATGATGAGATAATTGAGTACAAGAGGTTTCCAGCTTCTTGTGGAGTAGGGAGAAGACTGGTTGCACATTTATGAAGGTGAGAGAGAAAGAAGAAAAAGAGGCATGAAAAAAAAACAGGAAAATCTTGCGTTGTACTCCAGGACCTGAATTTGAGGGCACTGTGAGGTTTTGAGTCGGGCCGCAACTCAGTGGTGCGGATTTTCAGTTGAATTTCAAGAGCTGAAAGGAAAATGAGGAGTTACATAGCCAAAAAGAGAGAGAAAAAAGTGTAACTCTTGTAACAGTTCAGTAGAAGTCCATTTAATTATGCATATTGTTAAAAAACAGCCACAGAAAAATGATGCTGGAACTGAGGTCTCCATTTATTGCATTCAGCTCTGTCAATAAATTGTGCAATTGGAATGTACAGATGGAAATCTAATACAGCCTGTAGTTACCATTTGTTACATGAAAACTGTAGCAGTTTACATTGATGATTAGGTTTTTCTAATTAATGAAGAAAGGAAAAATGAAGTATTTTGAAAAACAATGATGAAGTATCACTTTACTTGCTTTTGTTGCTTTAATGTCTGTTGTGCTTTAATTGGATACGAAGTATTGCATAACATACTCCGAAATGCACTGCTTGTTTTTGTTAATGAAATCTCACTAGTGGTAAACTCAGTACTTCTGTTGTTAGTCTTCAACAAGTCCATTTTTTTTTTCTCTCCCTTCTTTTGGAGTTGCTGTCGCCTTACAGTTAAAAGGATTAGGAAGAGGATTTATTTTCAGGGATTTTCTGTTTGACTTCTTCTACCATGGGAAACAAGGGCACATTTCTTTGTGTTTTAATGTGGCTTTGTTCCCACCCTGTGGGAGCCAAAAGGTGACATGGGAACATCTGTGAAATCCCTTAGCTTCTGCACTGGATCAGGTCCCTTAATGAGGACAGCTCTCCTCTCTCACCTCTTCACTGCTGCCCAGTGCAAATTTAGAAGAAGCATTCAGCTGAATGCTGTAGGTGCTCACTGTATTCCCTTTTCTGGGAAAAATTCCCAGAGAGGAAGGTGAGGTGAGGTGATGGATGCTGGAATAAACTCTCTTCCATGTAGCCCTGTGAAGGCACAAACGGTGCCAAGAAAATATCTCCTTTTGTTTCCACACATGGGAGATGAAATCTGGATATAAGAGCATTCCTAATGCAGTAGTTTGGGGATATAACTGCAGTCTTGTCCCTTTGCAGTTTGCTTTTTTTCAGATTATAAAATGCGTAAATACTGAAAAGTAGATTAACAAAATTCTGCAATGTTAATAAGGAAGTTTTGTTTGGGTGGTGGTGGTGTTTTTTCTTTTAGAAGAATGGTTAGCGAATGGGTTAAGCCACTTCTCAGCTAAGAGACCCTGAACAGCTCAATTGTCTCTAACTCTGTTTCTTTTTCTTCCACCTCTTCTTTGCCAGTGTAATCTTCTGCTCATCATCTTACTCACTAAAATATGCAGCACAGTGGGGCCATTACCTCAGGCAGGACTCTCTGGGCATTCTGCTATAATATATACAGTGATGTTTTAAAGTAAACAAACATCTGCTTTGATTCACTCTTTGCTGTATAAATTTACTAAGTCGTGTTTTCCATCCTGGACAGATGGGTTCCATAACACTTCCCCCTGTAACCTATATGATGAAGAGGAACTGGAGATCAGCAGTTCAGAAGAATTCTCTGTTTTCCAAGAAGACCTTGTGGCAGAACAGTTGACATACATGGATGCAGTACGTAGAGCATATGTACTACTTGAAATGCTAGGGGCTTCTAAAAATTTTTTTAAAGTTATGTCAATAAAAGTATAAGTGTTCCAGAGCAGGTCTGTTGTTGGGACACAGAACACAGTTCTACTTGGTTATCAAAACTTGCTTTGTTTATTGGGCTTTTTCCTCCAGTCATTCTGAAGTTTGGTGTTTTGTTTTTTTGTTGTTGTTGTTTTTAAAGTGTGAATGTATAATGTGTAGCCTTTTTGCAAAGTTTAATATTTGACACCTGAGAAATAGCACATTTTGACTATATTGCTACCTGGCCTAAAGATGTATAGGTACTCTTAACTGTAGTGCTCTGATTTTGTTTGTCTGTATCAATCTCCTTCAAAGTATCATTATATAAAAAATTTTCCCTTTGGTTATGCAACTGATATAAAGGTATCTCTTATTTTCCCAGGACTGTTTAGCTGAGAGTTCTTTTAGGGCATCAAGCCTATAAAGAGTATGCCAAAGTGTCTATTTTAAACTAAGAGAAAACAAATACTTACCTTTTAATACCATATTAGATTTAGATCCAATTTGTACTGTAAGCATGCATTTCTTTTTGTGGACAATAGAGATCTAGGGAGACTCCCGCTGACTTACCTCTATTTCACTCTAGAAACTCTTCAAGAAAGTTGTGCCCTACCACTGTTTGGGATGCATCTGGTCTCGAAGGGATAAGAAAGAAAACAAGCACCTGGCACCCACCATCAGAGCCACCATCTCTCAGTTCAATGCAGTTACCAAATGTGTTGTCAGCACTATCTTGAAGAGCAAAGAACTCAAAACACAGCAAAGAGCCAAGATCATTGAGAAGTGGATTCATATTGCACATGTAAAGCATTTATTCTAGACTGTTTAATGTTTCTTGTGCGGGTGCCTTGGAGTGAGGGAGTTGGGAGGGGAGAAAGGGGTTGTATGCATTGGTCCCAGGCCAGTGAACATCTTAGCTCTAATTCTTTCTATTTTTGACTGACTTCCTTTGTAATAGCAAATGAAGTGTTGCCGTTCCTCTCCGTAGTTCCCTCCCCACCATGGAAACGGGGTTGATGCTTGTCTTTTCACAGGGTTGGGAGTGCTAATTAATGGGTGAGGCAGATACTGTGTCTTGCAGGTGGGGAGTGCTGTATACTTTATCAAGTAACATTTGTAGTAAGATAGGTATAAATTCAGACAGTTTACTTCCCTAGGAAGAAAATACTGCTCATATCAGTGAAAGAAGTGAAGCGATGGTTGATATCATCCAAAAGTTAGACTTGTTTTCAGAGGAAAGTTTAATAAGAATGGAGTAGGACTGGCAGTGGCACAGGCAGCGGGCACAGGCAGAGTAGGCTTTGCGCTTACCCACCTTTGGCCATTCATGTTCAGTCAGTGAGAGTCATGCTCCCTCTCCTGTGTCTATGAACACCACGGGAGTTGAAACCAGATATGATGGAAGACAGCACAACTGTTTGTCTTTTTATACCTTTATATATATATACGTGTGTGTGTGTGTATATGAAAGTAAAGTAAATACAAGGTTTTAAGTAAGTGCAGACAAAGCTAACTTACTTCTAGGAAGCCGTAGCCTCTTTAACATGGAAAAAATGAAATTATTGTTTGTACTCTTTTGTTTTGAAAAATTCTTGAGGCTGAAAAGTCATTTGCCTACTGAGTTATTCACTGTTTACATCAGGTATACAAACAGGCTGGGTTTAGAGGGGGTGAGAGGTGCAAGCAGTGACCAGAAAAAATAAGTAGAGTTACAATATGGTACCAGTCTCCTCATCTTCTTACCTTTCTGCTTTATCATTGCCTCATGTGTTTCTCTAACACATTTTTACTCTTTGCTTCAATTCCTTTGTCTTGTAGCAGATTGTGTGTTTCTTAATCTTTGCGTGAAAGGGGTTTGCATGCCTTCTTTACGTAACTCTAGTTTGCTAATTTCTTAGATTTTATCTTTAATAATTTACTGTAACCTTTTTAACTCCTCTCAGAGCACTGGGCAGCTGGCAGTAAACTAGATCTCTCTTTTGAAGAGAACATTTAAAGCACTTTCATATGGATGTGTGTTGACTTTTGTTTTAAGAATCACATGGATTCTTTCCGAGCTATACAAAATAAGCAGTCATAAAAAGCTTAAGCCAAACAGAGGCTCTCCAACCTTGACAATGCACTTCTATGCTTCCAGAGGCAGTATTGTTAGTCCTGGCACCTAAGCTCTGGCAACTGCATGGTTCAGGAAACTGGTATGGGGAAGTAGTCTTTCACCTCTCTTTTGGCACTTACGTTGACTCGTTTTTGTTATCATCTGATGGCTGCTTTATAGCCCATGTGAATGGGTTAGGAAGTTTGATTCCTATTTTCTGTGTGCAGATCTTTAAGTTGCAGAGGGTACCAGCTAAAGGGGCCTTCATGGGGCAGACTGGGCTGCAGCTGGGACGAGCAGGTACAAAGCAGCTTCCTGCTCATCACGGGGCAGCAGGGAGGACCAGGGAAGCCAGGACAGGCAGCACGCTCATCATACTTGTTCTGTGGATAGAGAATTTTGTTCTCCACCTCTGTTGATTCAGTACTTCTCCCTTTACTTAATTCATACACATAATTAAATACTCCAGTCTTAGCTAAGCACATGAAAAATGCATGTGCACGCTCTACAAAATAATTGCACATGTAGAATAGCTAGTTGTATATATACTTAGCTGCCCACTTCTGAAGAAAGTTGCTTGCTTTGTGCATGCAAATGAGTGTTTTGAATAGTTAGATGCCTGAATTAGAAAATAATCCACTCATTAAAGTGCAGTTATTCACTGACAACTCTGTAACTTAGCAGCATGGAGTTCCACGTTTGTTATCTGTTCGTGACTTTTGGATCCAGTGTCTTGGAATACTTTTTCTAACTGCCAGCCCTCTCTGCTCCACCTAAATCTAAGGTTCCTGAGCAGGAGCAGCCAATTTAACTTACACAATATTTTCTTTAAAAATAAAAAGTAAAAATGAAATCATTAATACCCTGTTATGCTTAATTTTTTTAAATCAAAGTTGCTTCTGCACAGGATTCTTTCTGGTTTTCCCCTTGTGAAGGACACAGCATGAAGCAAAGTTATTCAAACCAGTTTTAAAAATTCTTCTTATATACAAATGAAAGCTTGCTAAAGTTTAGTCTGCAGTCAGTTAAATCATTGAGAACACACAATCCAATATTGAATTCTTAATGTGCTTTAAATTATGCAACATGCAATTAAGTCAAGATGGTTCCAAATTGGATCTTCCAGTCCAAACCCCTGTTGTATTTGAAAAAAAAAGAAAGGCTAAGAATTGGTGTCTCTAAATCTATGTTCTCCCCAGCCTGAATTTCAAGTTGAACATAAAGAAAGAAGGGTCTCCTTTTCAAATGTGTCAGTCTCTGAAGAAGAGCTGTTATATGGCTGCTTTGGCCCCAAACCACGCAAAAATAGCTTTCAGCTCCTGTGTGTCCTACCACATGATTTTGAACTTGGTCTTTATCTAGACTAACTGCCACCCTGCTTCAAGTGCTGTCTGCTCAGTCTGTCTTCTTAAGCCACACTTTCTTAAACGTAGCCTCCTAAGTTGCACAAAGATTTTTTTTTTTTTTTTTTAGGTAAATAAATGGAAGTAAATGTACTTCCCTTAGTTGTTCAGTCAATTTTAATACAACTCATGAACAGAGTTGCTGATATATTAAGGTCTGACTTTTGTTTATGCTAAGATTGCTTTACATTTGTTCAGTCCTACAAAGGAAATAAATTATGTCTATTTTCACTGTAAGGATCCTTTATGTAATCAGCATTAATAGTATAATAGTCAGCCCCATAAAAGTTTGCAGAAGTGGAATAGTAGTTTGAATACTTTCTCATCTACATGCAACAGTCAAATTGGCATGTGTTTTGTCTGCTTAATTTGCGTGTAGAGACACTTGTTTGTGAGAGCTTGTATTTCCAAGAGTTTCTTAAGTCTGTGGTGCCCATGCTCTGGTTCGTGAGCCACCAACAGATTTACAGGAGTTCCTTGAAGAGTCACAAGCCAGACTTCCCCCCCCCCACCCCTTGCTTCCATCTGCTTTACCAGGAATCTGTGCTATTTTTTTGAGAATTAAGTTTTTCAGTACCCTTTTCTGTCAGAGCTTTTGCCACAGAGAAGCTGCATAAGAAATGTCTATGAACCAGTCTCTCTGTTAGGATTTGATCCCAACTCTGGAAAAGCTGGGAAGGTTTTTCTCTTTAACAGTGTACACATACTTGAATAACAGGTTATTCCTTTGCCTGTCTTTATTTTTAATTGACACAAAAATGATTGAGGGTTTACATTTTAAATACCACATACAAAGAGGCAAACCCTGTTTTTTCCCCTAAAGGGTAAAAGGGATTGGTAACTATAAAGAGCTTTTTAAGAAGTCTAACATTTGTGCTTTTTAGTCTGGTTTCATGGATTCAGTTCCACTTTTATTTTTACTAGGAGAACTGGAAGCTGTAACACTGCAACACCACCACAAATACATGAAAGTGAGGAAAACAAGATATAAGTGCCAAAGCCCATAAAGTGTTTGGTGGCTGGAAGGGGGAGTCATATTTTTGATGCTCAATATTTGTACAGCTGCCTGCTTAGCAGTGAGAATGCGTAGCAAGCATGACACCGGTCAAACAGAAGAGCACCAACGTATTCGTAATGCTGACATTTAATGCTCCTGTATTTCTAACCGCTCCTTTCACAGGAATGTAGGATCCTGAAGAATTTTTCCTCCTTGAGGGCCATCATTTCAGCACTGCAGTCCAACTCCATCTATCGGCTAAAGAAGGCCTGGGCGTGTGTTCCAAAGTAAGCTTCCCCCTCCACTCCTGTGGTTAGCCCAAAACAAAGGCAAAAAGCTCAGTGCCCTGTCTTTTCATCTTGTTCTTCTCAGTCTTCCTATTCTGCTCCTTCATGGACATCTGTTCTCTTAGAAGAACCTCTCATTCCTGTGAGGCTCAGACCCCTTTTCTGGGTCTGACTGCTGTGAGCTCCTCTTTCATATATTGAGGGGACAACCTGCCCTCAGGGATACTGGGTCTCTTCTGTCCTTTATAGCTCACCCAGCTCATGCACACCGCTCTCGGAAGGTCAGCAAAAGGGCACCATGATGCTTGCCTGTTGTCTAGTTTCCTGTGAAGTTGGAGGAGGTCTAGGTTGCTACCAGCCTTCACTAATCCTCTCCTGGTCCTGACATTTCTTAAAATATATCCCTAAACTACAAAATCCAAATCTGTATTGAAGACAATATTTCTTACAGGGGAATAACTTTTTGTGCAACTGGCATATTTACTGCATGCCAAACAGAAAATCTCTGTGTAGGAAAGATGGTGTTCTGCTCATTCAGTTTGGGAAGAATAGATTTCTTTCCTTTGCCTTTGATAAACAAAGAAAAATGTCACTCTGTCACGCAGTATACTGCATTTCCCCTAGAAAGAGGTGGGTCTTTCCTTCCGCTGCCCTGTGTTGCTGTTCCTGATCAAAATATTGCTATCTCATGTTTACAGTCTCGGGTAATAGAAAAGGACTCGTATGCTTAAATGCTTCTAGCTTTCCAGAGTGCATGGAACATGGCAAAAATGAAGTACTTAAGATACCTCTCACAGCTATTTTTCTGTTCCGTTGTATCTATTTACCCACTTTCTTACAACAATCTCATACCCTGCAGTGTGATCGAAAACCCTCCTCTCATAGGTCTGCATACCTATGGCGTTTCTTTGTGATGCTCTCAAATGAGGCCTGACTTTACTGGGAGCACCAGAAGATCCCACGAAGGTTCCTAGTAGATGTGCAGCATCTCACTGGATGCATTTTGGTAGTGTTATCTTTTATGTGCCCAGCTGTTAACGATTCATGAGGAAAAAAAAGCTGAATAGTAATCTGATCTGATTTAGGGTGCTTACTAATAACCTAAATGATTTAATCTTTTCCTATACAGGGACATAATGCTGATGTTTGAAGAGCTGTCTTATATCTTCTCAGACCATGACAATTATTTGACAAGTAGGGAGCTGCTGATGAAGGTGAGAATTAGCTTGAATTGCAAGGCTTGTGATCTCCATCAAAGCTGAGGTTAGCCCTTTTTCTAACCAGCTGCCAAAGCTGATCTCTCCCTGAACTACTGTATGTGGTGCTGCACGGAAGACAGGTCTGCAAAATCTGTGCTTTTCTACTGGGCGGAGAGGTGATTTCATTGTTCCTGAAAAAACCTACGCTAGCATTAGCCTGCTGAGCTTGGATACCCACAAACAGCAGGCTGCAGCAGCATAGATTCTGTGGAGTTGTTCACAAGGCAGCAGGTCAGGACCCCCTGGAGCCCCTCAGGTTGAATGCCACGCTGCTGTAGTTAGGTAACTGGTAACACTCCCTTGGGCATGGTGATGCCTAGCTCAAGAATAGCCATGTGCGCCGTATCGTACCTGTGATAGCACTGGAGCCACAACCAGAGTGAAGAGGTCCTGCACAGTGTAATTTTACTGAGATGAGTTACAAATTAGCACTTTGGCTTTATACTGCTCTGTATATAGAGATGAACCGCTAGCTTGCGCACCCCTTGAGCAGACCTGGAAAGGCTCAGGTTTGCACTGGTAAGTGCAGAGCAGCTCCAAACGAGATTCTCAACTGGGTTGCACCACTGTAGTGCTTTTGACTTCACTGGAACAATGCCGCTTAGCTTCAGCTGAAGAATTAAACCAAGATGTTTATCCAACTATCCCATACCTTTCTTGGAACTAGAAAACAGGGCTGGGAATTTCGAAGGAACAGGCTTCCTGCTCTGTGTGTGGCCAGATGGACAACAAAGCAGGCTCTGTCTGAAACAGTTTGACTTGTGCGCTCTCCTGGGCGGACCCCAACAAGCTCAGGAGCTTGAAAGGAGTGAGGAAGAATAGAGGGAAAGGTTATATTCTGTAGAAACTGAGGAATGTTTGTGGCAGTTTTTTCTGTTTACATAAAAAAGTTTCTATAAACTGGCTAACCAGTTTAGTTTTTGGCAGTTCTATCCAGTCTATCTGGCATTTGTACCTTACCCCTTTGCCTTGGTGTTTTGCTCAAGAATGATGGGTGAGCACATTCAAACCTGTCTGGTTTTTTTAATCATCCATTTATCAACATCTGTAGCTAAATTTTAAAGCAGGTGAGGCAATAATAAGTGTAGAGGGAAAAGGTGTGTTCAGAATAGCTTATTTAATTAAATATTAAAAAGACAAAACAACAACTCAGTCTGAGCCCAGACCTTCTGGCTCCCAACATATCGCTCTCTCCAGCTGCTGTAAGTAGATTTGCAAAACATTTTGAAAACAGTGAGAGGAGAAAAATTCCACAGAGTAGCTAGAACCTCTCTCCTACTTCTTGTCTTGGACCGTTTTGTAATGATTAGAGGATTAATGTCCACTGAATCCTTAAAGTCTTTGTTTTCTTTCACTATAAATAGTGTCTCTAGGGAAAGCCGTGTTTGACCCTGCCTATCCATCCTGCAAATTTAAGTGTAGAGCAGACAAAATGCCATATGAAACAGGTTGGCCAGTGTGGAGAGGGAGCACTGTGTTCTCTCCTCCCCAAACAACAGCTCGGCTGCAAGCTGCAGTTGTAGCTTCTGTGCCTGCCTTCTGTCTGCTGTTAGAGAATATTGAGTTTACCTTTCAGTATCTTGAAGACATTGAGACAACACTCCTTTTTCATTTGCTCCTGTTTTTCATGCAAGGAAGGAAATACAGTTTGAGTGATCTGTCCATTAGCTGTGACTGAGAGAAGGAAATGTTGTAATGAGAAGATCTTTAAAAGTGCAGGCTGTTGTCTGTGCCTCTTAAAAAGACATTGATAATGATTCATAACCCCTCTATCTGGCCACTCGCAGCGTCCCGTATGGATCCAGGGAAATAAAGGCTACAGATCTATTGTGAAATAGCTTATCCATTCATAGGAAAGCTTGAATTGTGGAGATGAAAACCTATTACTTCCATTTCCTGCGTGGTTTTGGATTAGTCAATAAGCCACAGAGCGTAGTTGCTGGATCTCTATGTTGCAGCATAAGAAAAACAACTAAGCATTACATAAGATAGAGATGTTTACTCGGAGCAGTCCTGATTAGTAAATTAAACAGAAATTCTGAGGCCAAGAGTGGCAGGATAGAGTTCAGAGAAGTGTCTGGACACCTGAAGTATATCTAAGCTTCTCTGATTTAAACTCTCAGGAGATTTTCAGCAGCACTTAGCTTTGGCCAGAGTAGAGCTATTTTGCAGAAAAATTCCCTTATGGTCATCTTGTGGGATTTTGTCCAAAATTCCCAATCAGTGTATGAGTCCCAGAAAATTAGCACGTGTATGTATACATGCATGTACCTGCACAGCAAATATTTTTGCTGACCTAGTTTGCCTGGATAAATGTATTTGCAATTATTTTACACAACCGTAGCTGCCACCTTACCACTTAGCTCCTCCATTAATTGCCTTTTAATTCCCTTACAGGAAGGAACTTCCAAATTTGCGAATCTGGACAGCAGTGTGAAAGAAAATCAGAAAAGGACACAGAGGCGACTACAACTTCAAAAAGATATGGTGTGTCTGGGGTCCTTTTCCTACCCTTTTTGAACTGGTAACATGATTAACCCTAATTGGTGGATTATATAAGAAGCAAAATCTAGAAAGGTATTTATTTTGCTGCGAGTGTACAGTAGGTGATGCTCTTGAATGTGCCCTCTGTCAAGCAAAACAATCACATCGGTGCTATTGATTAGCTGACACAAAGCAAGTGAACCGAAAGATTTAGACTGAATGTGCAGTCAGAATGTTTGTCCCTGTAAGTATACGCCCAAAGCTGTATTTCCCTTATGCTGTGGATCATAGCAAGCAGGTAATACTATGTGTGTGTATATATAGTGTGCAGAGAGAGAGAGAGACAATCCCACACATGCATGCATCTGTACGTATAAACAATTATAAAGTGGGATTCATGCTGCAGCCAGCTCAAGCTGTATGGCCTACGCTGAGCTACCAAGCTGTTAACAGCTATGGTTTTTAGTGCAACCCAGCTGTCCTTTTACTCTGGTAACACCAGTCTCTGTACTGAAATGCTGGAGGAAATGGATAATGCAAAGCATCAGCATAGCCACTGCGTTCAGTGATCTGATGCTGAGAATGCTCGAAGATTTCAGGATTTGGTGGACGTACGCAGCGGCCACGTTATGTTCCCTGGTGCCAGTCTTCCCCTGTCCCCTGCAAGGGGATAACTGGATGTATAGTCTTGCTGCTCCTTTCCCCGCTTGCATTTGCTTCACATCCCAACCAGCTGTTCAGGATGGATGCTGAGCCAAGGGTTTGGCCTTAGCTTCAAGTCTTCCAGAAATTTACTAAAACTGTCATATAAAATGGTAATAAATGATTGATGGATATAAACATGTGTTCATCATCTTCAACTGTCTTGTTTCTGTCCTACAAGAAAGAATTCCATTAACTACTCTTGGTACCCTTTAGAGAGCGATACAGGGAAAGCCACACAATTTTCATGTAGTAAAATACATAATGTAAATACTGGAATTCTTGTGATAGAGAAGATTAGCTCTGGCCAGAGCAGAAATCTCATTTACTTTTAAACAAGCTCATGAAACTTCTGACATACCAGCTTGAAAATTACACAGACTTTTACAGAGATTGCTTTGTAAAATGTGTCTGGCTTCCAGTCTGCTGGTGAAAATGGCTTTTGTCTCAAAGTTGGCAAAGATTTAAAAGGACAGGGGGAGAGAAATCTGGGATAGGGAGGCAAAAGTGCTGAATATGATTTTTTTGTTTGTCTCTCAGTTTGACTGGAAAAAATATGGATTCTTTTGGGTGACAGAAACAAGCATTTCCTTCACAAGTGTAGAAAGAGCCTGAACTCTACAACGGCTAATAGTCTAGAAAGTTTAAAATTTGAATAATGACTATTTAAAATGCAGTGAATAGCTGGGGAAGATGGTCACTTCTTGGAGGAAAAAACTGTGACTTGATTTCACTTGACTGTCACATAGTATAACAACATCATTAAGGACAAATCCACTGCAATGAAGCAGAGAGAGAAACTGTTTACACAGGCTAGCCAGGACCATTCCCCGGCTTTCTCTTGTAGCATGAAACCAAGGCACCCTGTCCCTGGTGCTCAATGCTTCTTCCACAGTGATGTTTCCTGGTGACTCACTGTTAGAAATCAGTGTATGGTGGCAGGATTGTAGTATAAAGCCACTTGGCAATATCTGTGAGAGCATCCTGCTCTCATTAGAAATTGATTTAAATTCTAGATTAGATACCGAGGATGATGTAATGAAAGAAAACATCATTTATAAGACCACTGTTCAGTTAAGCAGACTACTTTCATTTCATTTTTTTTATACAGGAGTATTCTAGCATTCTAATTATTACCATTACCATTTCTCATTACATTGCTCTGATCATTTGCAGGGAGTAATGCAAGGCACGGTACCTTATCTTGGTACCTTCCTCACTGATCTCATCATGCTTGACACAGCCCTTCAGGACTATATTGAGGTAATTTGGAGCAACTTTTTGAATCCTAAGTATCCTCCCTGCCTTCCCAGCTCTGAGTGTGTCTGTTCCTGTATCTTCTACTGCGTTCTTGTGCAGTTCTTAAAAATGGAGGAATCTGCTTTCAAAAAGAAAAAAAAAGGAGCAATATGCAGTTTTATTACCAACAAGAATCTTGTATGAGTTTGAGTGCAGTTATCTCAACGGACAAGCTTAGCATTGTATTTTACCTTGTTTTCTCAGGTTAGAAAATGTGAAGAAAGTAGGCTTTCATTATTCTGTTTTATTTTTCTGAAAGCAACGTTTCAGGTATAAAGATTTCTGTGAATAATTGGTAGAATACACTGAATCACGAATTCAGCTCTTCAGACTGATCACTGAAGTGCTTCAGTATTGACTCAGATGGGTCTGAGCCCTAAAGTGATTAAACACTTGTTTTTTCATTTTTCTGAACAAGTAGGGGGACCCAATCTAGCATAGGAAGGGAAAAAGGATTGCAGGAGAGGCTGGTTGTTTAACAGAGACTGAGAATGAGGCCAATTTCCAACACCTTTGAAAATTGGCCCCGTTAATGGAGTCACTTGATGAGCCATGCTGCAGGCACTCAGCCTTCATTGTGCTGGTGTTGGTATTTATGATAAGAGTGGGCAAACGCACCTCTCCCTGGGTCTGGTAATGGTTGCTGCTTGGTTTGGTTGTGCAGGCCCGTATAAGGTTGCTATATGTCTATTTTCTTTTTGGCGGTTTCCCTTCTGTCCATGCTTTGTGTTCAGCTGGTGTTTCTGAAACTCACTGAGGACACTGCTAAACCCACAGCACAGGCAAAAGCCGAGTTTGTTTCTTGCATGCAAAATCCCACTAGCATTCTTCAGACCTGATCTCAACACAGCTTTTACGAACATTCTTGTCTTGGGCTTTTCTTCTTGGGCAGATTGCCATTTAGGCCATGAGGACAGATATCCTTTGGTGACTCGGATATATGAGTGCTATGGTTTTTACCAGATCTGGAAACAGGTATTTTTAGAAGGTCCTTGCTCAGGGCAGGTCTGTGCTTTACATTAGCCTTGCTAATTCATCCTATTTGTGATTAAATTCAACTAAGCATGTGCTCTTCTATTCTGAACCCTTCTCTTTCCTTCCAACAGGGTGGCCTGATAAATTTTGAGAAGAGGCGCAGGGTAAGTTGAATATTCTGTGATCTTTAGTTTACTGATGCCCTCTTCTACAGCATTCTCTTGGCGAGGCCTGTTGTCTTTGCTCAGGCACATACAACAGCCACTAATTTGAATGCAAGTTATTTGTACTTGAGGAAAGAATAGATCCCTGAAATGCTGTGAGCCTCTGCCAAACTGTGAGGGGTGGTGCAGGAAGAGAACCTACTTTTTAGATGTGTGCAATAGGGGAAGAGGAGCTGCAGGCCACTTACTTCCATGGAATTTACATCAGGGGCATGCACATTCCCTCCATTTGGAGTTCATGGGAATACGTTACATGTGTATGTCCTGTGTGTTGAGAGTGAATCAGACCTGGTGGCATGAGACCTTTGCTTTCCAGAAGATAGAGTTTGTAAACATCTTCTTTCTGCTGCAATAAACCGTTTATAGGTAAAAGGCTGCAGAGTGTGAACTAGGTACACAGGACTGAGACATAAACGCTATCAGTCTTTCCTTTCAGCCTGATCCTTGTTGGTCAGAGATAAGTAATGCCATGTAGGAGTAAAGGTACTAGGGTTACGTCTGTCTGAATGAAGCCGTGCCAAATCTCCCTTCTGGGGTCTGAAAGCAGACTTGGATTTGGCTGTGATGGAGCCATTTCCTTCCCTTAACTGCTCCCAGCTCTACAAAGCACTTCTTGGACTTGCCTTGTATGTATAACCGCATGGCTTAAGATACTAATAGTGAGATACATGAGCTTCTCCATGGTCATCAGTCCAGCTTCATACAAACCAGTGGCAAAGCTGCCCTCTGAACCGTACTGAGCACCCAGCTCCATTCCCGCATCCTGATTCTATAACCTGCTCTAACACAAAGGCTTTTTAAGAATTATTTTGGCAAAGTATGTATGCAAGTGGTGTTACAGAAGAGCAGCGTATTCTAGTTACATGTATTAAGGGTAGCATTTTATGTTCCTCTGGTGCAAGTGTGAGTGCACAAAGTGCAAAGCCAGGGAGGATCAGACTCTCTGCTTTCATCGCAGGCACCCCTAATTATTACCCTTGCTTGCTGCCTGAGAACCACCTAAGTACAGAGCATGATTCTTCTCTCAGACCTGGTCTGGCCAGTGCACGGGTGAGCGGGTAGGGTAATCTGAAGAACCCGTGACCCTTTGCTACCCTTGTTCCTAGAGGAACAACCAGCAGTGCTGCCATTCGTTGGGTTTGCACTGGCATGACACTTCGGTTAGTACTTGGGAAAAGCTCTGTGGTGAAGTGTGGTTCCTTGTGTTTGTCTTCTAATTTGTGCGTGTTTGATGTGAAGTGTTCACATTTCAATGCACATTACAGAATGGATTACATTATGGATGCCGGGGGGGGGACAAAAAATAAAATCTTTGTTGTTCAAAAAACTGGTTCTTGGTATAGTCGGTTACTCAACTGAAACTGAACTTCAGGTCAAACTAAGTTTCTCCTCGATCTGTTGTTGCATATGTTTAGTATATGAATGAGTCTGTTTGGCTTTATTGTGTTTTCTAATTAGAATTCCTATTTGATTATTTATTTTCTTAGGAATTTGAAGTAATTGCCCAAATTAAGCTCTTGCAATCTGCATGTAACAGCTATTGCATGACACCAGACCAAAAATTCATCCAGTGGTTCAGGACACAGCAGCACTTAACTGAGGAGGAGAGGTAGGTTCTCAGTCCAGCTGGGAAAGCAGGCTTTTCTTATCCCACACTCACCTGCAGGTAGGTTATGTCAGCCTTTAGCTATCCTCGTACAGGAACTTACATATGCTGCTGCTAGAGGAGAGTGGAAATACATCTGCCTTCTGCTAAACAGCTGTAGAAAACCTGTTGAACACTTAGCAGGGTTTAGTTTTGAGATTGGAAATCAGGCTTCTGACTTTGAAATGTGATAGTCTGTTGTGTCTGGGCTGTCTGTATGCCCAGACACATGCTCAGAAGTCGATCCTAAGGGATGTCAAGATGCAGTCACTGAGCATTCGGCTGGTGAATGCAGGCAGCTGGTAGCCAAGGCAATGCAGAGCTCACGGAGCGCTCACCAGATAAATGTCTCCTGGGCATGTGGGGTGGGGTTTGCAGCCCTGCTGAGTTCTGTGCTACTGCACGTGCTGCCAGATCAACCCAAGACTATTTACAGCATTTTAATATCTCCACGAGGTATTTGAATACCACTCTGCTGCACTAAGAGTGTAAGCACAGATACATACTGCATTGTACTGAGTTGTAGTAAAAAAATGTCAGCTTATCCAAGATTCACATGTTAAGTATTTTCTTGATTTTTTTTTTTTTAAATAAAATGATGAATGTCATCCAAAAAAGCACTAGTTTTTAAAACTATTGTAAATAAGTGAAATATCCCCTTCACTATGGTAAAATGCGGACAGAGCTATGTTCCTTTTTGTGGGGTTGCAACCTTCTCTGAAGTGGGAATAACTGAAGGTTTCTTGAATTTCTTGAATATTGCTACTTTGAGATATATAACTAATAGTATTGTTTGTAAAAATTAACCCGGTGGCCTCTGTTCTGCAGTTACAGCCTTTCACGTGAGGTTGAAGCAGCTGCTGACACTAGCACCACATCGCCAAAATCTCGGAAAAGCATGGTGAAGAGATTCAGCCTGTGAGTATGATGGGACAAGGCGCATTTGGTGTGTTAATATGAGCCTGAATAAATCAAACAAGCAGTACTCATTTCACCAGCTGAAAAACCTGGCTGGGGATCCAGACCACTGCATTACTTTAAGGAGACATGATCAGCTAGAAGTGCATACTTCTGTCTGAAGCGGTCCCTTTCTATTTTTACAAGTAGTTATGAGGATTATTAGTGATGAAAGATATTAGAAACAAACAAGCCTTCCTAAGGTAAATTCAATATCTATTGTGTAGTAACTTTCTTGAATGCAGTAGCAAAACAGAGTAAATGAGGATAAAGTCTGGCCCATTATTAGTCTAATTTGCTATACACAAGCAAAAAATTCCTTGCAGGATTTTAATATGAAAATCAAGGTTAGCAAGAAGGCATTTGATGATAAAAACAATCTGTGTAAATGCCTTCAAGTTAGAGAAGGAAAAAAATCATGGGGACGTGGTCCAATTTAGTCTAATACCGCAAAGATTCAAACAGGAGGTGGGTGGAGAACAGGGGCATGCAGCTAAGCTCACACAGGAAACAATACACTAGCAGGAATTCAGGGAAAGCTGCAGGGAATGAAAGCAGAGATCAAGGACGGAAGTAAAAATATCTTAAAGGTGAGAAATTTGAACCTGATGCAAGAGGAGATGTGAAGGGACTCCCACATACCAGTGGCATGATCAAGATGAGGGGGGAAATGATTAATTTAACAGCACTATCAGCTCTTAACTCTTCTTTCCTGCTTGGTTCTTGTACCTAGTTTCCTCAGAACAGCCAGTAGCCGTTCACTTCACATCAGTCCTCCTGCAGGTTAGGGTCTGAAGGAAGAATAGATGTTTTCAATCTAGAGTTTTGAGTTATGATATGCAAAAAATTATGGGCAGCTGTTTGGAAAGTGTTTCAATTAGTCCATCTGAGTTGGTGGTGATAACGTTATGAGAACGTGAGCTTTGAAGATGACAGTGCCTGAACTCTTGGTGGCCTCCTATTTGTCTCTCCCTTGGCGCGTGCCTAAGCTGTGCGTAAGAATTGTCACTGCGGAGCACAGGCTTTATTCTCTCATTTCTGACTGCATTTCAGTGCTGTAGTATTGTAATTTACCATATAGAGTTTGTTTGCGCTATGCAATCTTTGTCTAAAGAATTGTTTCATCTGCACTCTGAATGTATTTTGCAAATTAATACTGTAGAAAAGACTGGCATAGTTCATCCCAGAAACAGCGAGCGACACCTCTCCAAATTGCTTTAAATCATTAACTGCATGCTGACATAGCATCTAATTCATCTTGCTTCCCTCTGTATATTATACAAGTTTGTTTCCTTCGACCCTCCTTTAAATTTACTTGACCTGCATTTAGAAATGAGTCTCGGAGAGAGAGAGCGAGCCTATAATTTACACTTTCTTGTGATCTCCTTATTGTGTACATGTCTGTTTAGACTCTTGGAGAGGAACTGGTACCTGTGGCACCTTTATTGAGTGAAAGAATTTGCAGCGGGGATGAATTTGCCTTTTGAAGACCTTTGCCCAGTGTATGGCCATGCGTTACCTTTCACGCACTGTTTCACTTACTCATGGCGACCGAGTACGTCTTGAGCTGCCTTGAGTCACAGGGACCAGTGTGTGACAGCAGTGTGCAGGAGCACGTAAGGTGGGGCCACCTGCCGTGCCTCTAACTTGCCCCTCGTCCCTTGGTTTGTAAACGCATCAGGTTTACGATCAATCGTTTCCTGACAAGTGAGTCTGAAAATTTAACGGACTGAAGAGGAGTCTCATTTGAGATACTTGGGCATTAGCTCCGATTTTGGCCTTGCAGCTGGTGGGTACGCTAGGTCAAGAAGGTATTTTGTTAGTGTGTAACAAGCTCTCTTGACAAACTGTATAAACAACATAGAGGAAACGAAAACAATAGGCCACTCAAGATAGGAAAACAAAACAGTACGTAAGATTTTTGAAGCAAGTGACAGCTTTGCTCAGCCCAGCTCTGTTCTGCTTTCACTTACTGGCTGTTATGCTTTCTTTTCTATACTAGACTGTTTCTAGGCTCTGAGGTGATCGCCCATAGCACACCCATCAAAGAGCAACCCAAATCTGCTCCAGGTGGGAGCTCTGGTGAAAGCACGGACTCGGCCAGTGTTTCGTCCTGTGAGTTCAATCACTCTGAATCTGAAGACATCTGCATCAGTCCCATAGGCACTCCTGATGACTCTCAGAAAAAGGTACGGCCTGGGCCTTGTTGCCAGCATAAAATAGCCTGTGAGAGACTGCCCGCATCGCAGGCAGGCCCTAGATGCTTGCCCAAGCCTGTTGGTCTTGACTAGAGCATTACTTTTAGTGGAATGGAGAGATTCTAGAAACAAATGTGTAAAAATGGAAGCAATCCAGTCAGGATTTTTGCACAATCCCTTCTATGTTGCCAAGCTACAAGGCAGACTGAAGTTCTCCTTCCTTGAAATACCATTTTCTTGTGATGTCTGCCAGTGTTTTAGGTTTAGGTGAGGCCCTGGAGCATCACGACGTTAATTTTTCTTTCAGTCCCTCGTTGTGCTTTTTGAGAGGGATGGGGCAGGCTAGCAGTGTTTCTGCCTTGGAGCCTGTGGGAAGTGGGGTGAGGAGCCTGAGCACCACACTCGCAGATGGCGGTGCTTCTGTCCAGCACACAGCAGCGTGATGTTAGCAGTGATGTGGCCAAGAGGATTTATAAGCCCTCACTAACAAAACCAAATGAAACAGGAGATGGGATGAGCTGAAGAGGAGTAAGATCAACAGTTAGTCATTTCCTCCTCGAATATCTCGGGTTTGATGAGTTATTCTGCTGTTAGCAGCCTGCTGCTGCATCCATCATGCTCAATCAGCTGTGTGCATTAGTGACAGCACTGCAAAATCCTGGGAAAGGCAGAGCAGCTGCAGTTGGCCAAGTGACAGGCAGGTAAGGTCAGAGCTCGCCAGCCCTGCGGGTTTGACCTCCTGCGAGCTCCCTGCTGCCAAGATGAACACCTCGCCTTGGCTCAGTTTAATTCCACGGGGGAAGTCGGTGTGTGGTGCAGTGCTGCTGCACCTCCTCCTGCACGCCAGCTCACTCTTAGCACACGCAGCCGGTGCCTTGCGCAAAGGCACTGAACCAGCGTGCCAGGAAATCCCTTGTTCTGCAGAGAAGGCAAAGCCCTACACCCCGCAGGCTGGCAGCTGGGACACCCCACAGCAAAATGAGTGTAAGGCTGAAGCTGTGAGCGTTCACGCTGAGAGCGGATGGGCCGGGTGTGTGCTGATACCATCCAGAGAGGCAAACTATAAAGACAGGAAACCAGCAGAAGGGATCTGATGGGGGGGATCCACAGGGACATCTTTCCTAGACTCTTCCCTTTTGAACTAAATTGCGTTAACTGTATTGTTGAAGCCCTTTTTAGGGATGTTTTGCTGAAGACTGTTATATTGGGGTTTAGCTTATGGACATTTTAAATTAGATTGTACTAAATGTTCTTAAATGAAATAAAGCACGAGGTCCCCGACACTGGCATCCATAAATGGTTTAAACTGTTTAGCTGGAGCTGTTGTTAAGGTGATTTCAATACGCAAGTTGGAGAGGGAAGATCCTCTCAGCAGTTTTTGAGCAAGGCAGATGAAGAGAAAGGCAAAACCCTGAGCAGCAGGGGAAGTAAGGGGACAGTTTCCATCGAGGAAAGTATATTCAAGGAGAAGTGGCAGAGAGGGAGTCATATGTGTATTTTTCACCCCAGTCTAGCTCCCCGTGCACACGCTCCGACCTAGTGCAGGCGCTGGGCGCCCATGGCCTGCTCTGCTCGGTCCCAGTCCCCAGCTGGTTGCCCACAACCCGATTCTGTTCGTTGTATCTGCTGCCACCTCCTGGCCCGCTCGTACTGAGAGGCAAGAGCACGCAGAGCCGTGTCTGGCACACCGAATTAGAAATTAATTAATCAAGTGAAGTTCACTTTTTCTGGAGGCAGGGAATACCACTGCCAGCCTGCTGGACAGAGTGCAGCTGCCTGAGGTTTTGTATGTGCCTGCTGCTTTCTCGATTTCTTCCTCCAGAATGACACACACAGATAACACAAAAGGTCCAGTTTGTGACAGTGTTTTTCTTTCTTTCTGTTGTGTAGCTCTCTGAATCCCCCTCCACTTCCTCCTCCTCCTCCTGTTCCTTCACCCATTCCATGGACACATCTTCCTCGGGGGTGTCATCTTTCATCTCACCCGCTCCTTTGGTGTCCTTCAACGACAAGGGCTCTGTCTCCGTGACACCCGTTACCTCAAAAGTACTGCCTCCTGTTTACAACCAGCAGAACAAAGATATGTGCATCATCCGGATCAGCGTAGAAGACAACAATGGCAATATGTACAAGAGCATCCTGGTAAGCGGTGTGGAACAGCAAAATGTTGTTATTGTTGGTGATGTTTTCATCCAGGGTGACTTAAACAAATGGTGCTTTTAGTTCTGAAAACACCAATTCACTGAGCCAACTAATCAAACCTGGCTTGAAAGGGAAGATGACAAATGTTACAATTCAAAATATGCGGAGCATAGTATGAACGAGAGGTTTGAAAACAGCATCTTTGTGGAAGTTTCTGGTCTTGAAATTAAAGTTTTCACTTTGAACTTGTTGATAAAATAAAGAGTTCTGATTAAGTGCAGGCTTTGCTGCTCCTGCCCTTCTGCTAGCACTAGCTGCTTTTTCTCCAGCACAGAATTTGTGTGCGAGCTTTGACGCAAGATGCCACAGGCCAAGTTTTGCCTGGAGAAACTTTCCCCAGGAGCTGGTTTCTGGAAACAGGGAGCTGTACATGAAGAAGCTGACAAGCCCTTTAATTACGCAGCTTCTCTCTGTGGCAAGGGTTGCCAGACCAGCAGCAACTAGCGTTCAGGTGTTTCCCTCCATGCTGGTCCTATGGAGGGATTCTGCCAGTGCCGGGCCAATGGCAGAGGGAGCGCAGGGCCTGTGCTGGATCGCGGCCGATGTGATTCCTCTGCTCGCGATCTCTGCAGATACCTGACGGAGCCTTAGCTGCTGAGCAAACACTTCAGGTCCCTCAGGGCCTGGGGGGAACCAACACACTGGAGGGTAGTTCTTAGCACGTTTAGCTACCTGATGATTTTAATGGTCTGACCTCCCCAAATTGCAGAGAGCTGTTCCCCAAGGGCATGACAAATTCGGCTACTGGTGAGACAAATCTTCCTCTTGACTGCATAAGGCTCTGGAGGGAGCCCTGTGTCTGCTCCGGATGCACAGCACTTCCACAGCAGACAGAAAACCCAGTTACAAGGCCAAAAATCTTTGCAGGATGTCAAAGAAAGTATTTAGCAGAGGAGACTGCAGATTAATTGATGTCTGCAAACAACAGATGGGGCAGCTATTTACGTGGGCTTTCATGGCTAGCGAGAACAACATCTCATCTCTCAGTGTTTGCTCAGGAGAGCAGACACTGATTTACTGCTGTCTCTTCTAGTACAGTATCTGTTGTCTTGAACTAAAAAACCACCACCACCACCAAATGGCACAAATACCATGTTTTAGTATCTAGCAGTACCTACTACTTCATTACTGACCCACCATATTTTTTCAGTTTTCTGAAATCTTTTCCAAGGCCAACTGGTCTGCAAAAAGGCAGGCCTTTGCCAATTATTAATTCATTATATAGAGTGAATAAGCAGAATCTCTCATTGCAACTCTACCTTTCCAGGTAACTAGCCAAGACAAAACTCCTGCTGTCATCCAGAGAGCTATGTTGAAGCACAACCTGGAATCCGACGCAGCTCAGGATTATGAGCTTGTACAGGTCATCTCGGAGAACAAAGGTAGGGAAGCAGAACTCTGCTGCTGCTTGAAAAGTTCTGCTGGATTTTGAAGGAAAGGGTAAAAGGTGAAGCAGCGTTAGAAGTGACATGGACGTGTTGTCACAGCTGCCAGGGAGAATAACCCCTTCTCGATAAGGGGTGCGCAGGGATGACTTATCACAGCCTGTCAGCACATCACTTTATACAGGCAGAGCTCGCTTGTGGGTTGCCAGCTAGACATCTGTATGTGCGCTGTGACTGTAGAGCTATCAGCCGAAGGGCAGCTGCTCTCTCTGCCTGCGCAGAGTCTGCCACAGGCGTCAGGTGTCAGGGTGCGACGTCCCCCGGGATCAGGGCAGGCCCGGATCCTACCGCTGTCATCGGGCTGCGCAAGCAGAGCTTTCAGCACAGCCTCCTCTTGGAGGGGCTGCCAGGGCCTCTGCCAGGCTGGACGTGGTCTGGGTTTGGCCTCCATCTCCTGTCCTCTGCAACCCTGCTCCCCCTTTTTTGTGGGACCGCTGCTGTGGGTACCACCCAGTGCAGCTTTGGAACAAGGAAAGGGGCCCAGCGCTGCCTGGCTGTGTACGCTCAGTCTGTTCACCCAGTCCTTGTTCTCTCCTGGCTTTCCTTCTGCTGAATTAACACTTGCTCTGGTCCCTCCTTTGCAGAGCTGGTGATCCCTGCCAACGCCAACGTGTTCTACGCCATGAACAGCCACGTGAACTTCAATTTCATCCTGCGGAAAAAAGCTTCAGTCAACGGGCAGGTGAAAATGAGGAGCCGTTGCAGTCTGACACTCCCCAGAACTGCCAAACGGGGGTGCTGGAGCAACAGGCCCAGCAAAATTACACTGTGAGGGAGACAAGGCCACGGGGAGTTGAGAGCCGTACGTTTGCTACCATCCAGTATTACAAAATCACAGCAGATTAATGTGTCAGTATTCAACTTCGAAAATATTTAAGGCTGAAATGCAAAGTGAACATTCGGTAGACCTACAGCCAGAGATGTCTCTCCTCCCTTGAAGCCAGATATGGACAAACAGGCACGGATTTACGGGACAGTACAGACTGGAATTTTTGTTTTGTTTTGGTTTTTGTTTTTTGTTTTGCACATTAGCCTAGGAAGGTGAGAAGCCCCAGTTAGAGGGGAAAACGGGACTGCAACATTTGTCTTAAGAACACCACACAAGCCAACTCTTTTTGTGAGAAAACATTTTTCCCTTTGTGCCAGTATTACACAGAAGAACGACTAAATTTATTTTTATAGAACTGGAGAAGAAAAGTGTCAATACAATTCTGCAGCTGACTGACGGGAGCACTGGTTTGCAGAAGGTGTGGGTGAGCGGAGTGCCACTAGCAGTCGCTGCCACCAGGAGGCATTTGCATTCACAAAAAAGCAGCGTGGGTACATCCCCCAAAACACTCATCGCTGGAGACTGCAGAAACTGCAAGTGTGCGTATTGCTTCCACACAGCTGGCAAACTTCTTTTTTTGCACTTGTTCCACGCCAGAAGATTACCTATTTTGGACTTTTTTTTCCCAAAGAACTTTAAAAAAAATGGACTGCACTTGCTTTTGGATGAATGTCATGGTTTGTTCACAAACAAGGCAAACAAACACTACTTGTCTAGGTCTTGTCTTAATGCCACTACAGGGTGGTTTTCCTTTTACTTTGCTAACCCATTGAACAGAAATCAATGCCTTTTGCATGTACTCTGAAATGACTTATGTACCTCTTTGTAATGTGCAATCACTCTTCAAGAGCAAAACTTTTAACTCACGTTTTCATTCATAAGGGGCAACTACGTGACCTTTTATTTTGAAAGTCGGTATTGAGAGGAGGTAGCCGGGCTTTAAGCATTACCCCAACCAACCAGAGATTTTATATATTTGTAGCATTATTTTGTATAATCTACAGGCACCTCCCTTGCTTTTATATACATCTACTAAATGAATTTCCTGACATGGTACATCCTTTCAGCTGGAATAAATAATTCAGCTGGAATAAAGAATTTAATCATATAACATACATACTTCTTGAGTCTCACAGGCTTCCTTCAAAGGATAGTTAGAAGTTTTATTTTAAAAAGCCATAAATGAGACATTGGATTGTAAGCAGCCCTTACTGAACAGGCTGTCTTTGAGATACATTAGTATTAGTTAAATTCAAATACTGAATTTTCTACATGCCTCAGCCTTTTTTCGCACCAGTTCTGTAGCACTAATTTTCAAAATTGGGCTCAGATTACATTAATGATTAGTGATAAACTCATGATGTAAACAATGTTGGGTTTTACTATGTTTTACACTACATGAAGATTTATCACTTCTGTTTACAAGTAGCACCATGCAGGTCCTAGTCTGAATAGTTCAAGAATTCCAGTTGTATTTTTGTTGAGAGGGTGAAAATGTTGAGTTTGTAACTGAGCCTTAACCCTTGCCCAGAGTTAGGGCACGATTAAAACAGAAGTTCAGTTTTCTTTGCATTTCAGTGTAAGCATGCATTGATGTCTGTAACAGTATCATTCGTAAGTATAGTATAGAGGTTGTATGTCTGTTTCAAGCTGAAAGTTGAGTGTTCTTGATTTTAAAATTACACCCTCCAAAAGGTTATATATGAAAAAGATTTTTTTAATTGCTTATCTGTAATCTTTATACAAGTATATAAACTTTTTTCCACTAATATTTGCCTGGAGTTAATCTGTTTTCTTCTCTTAGACTTTATTACTGCATGTCAGTTCTGGTTGGTTTGGTTGGTTTTTTTGTACACCTCACACCACTTCCCTCACTGTCACTCTCTTCAACTTCATCATTTTCACTGTTTTAACTGTTCTCAACTTCTTCCAGCTCTCACAACTCATCTTCCCTGCCATGCAGAGAACTCGAAACACCACATTTTAGATGTATTCCCTGTAGCTGTAACCCTTCAGCTACAACTTTCCTTCAGCATTGTTTTACTCTTCAACATCACAGCCAGGAACAGTTTTGTACTGTTTGTAACACTCGCTGTCAGCATTTTTTTTTTTAATTCCTAAAGGTTTTTACGAGGGCAGCTTCTGTGTTTCTTCAGCAGTGTGGCTGGAAGGGCTGTCCAAGTAAACCACCCTCTCACCGACATTACCCAGCGCGTGGCAGCAGCTAATCACGAGCCGTACGCAGTCCAGTTGTACGCTGCAGGAGTGCAACGAGCTTGTTGCGAGCTACAGGTAAACAGCAGCAAAGCAAAAGCCATCCCAGTGCATCAGCCATGCGTACCAACCTGCTGTTGCTATGGAATATTTTGTGCTATTTTAACAATTAATTTGTGTTGTAACTAACTAGCTAACTTAGATTACACACAAATTTTATAACTTCTTCATGAACTCATTCTCTTTTGGGTCACTGAATGATTTCTGCAGCAAGTTAATACAAACAGAGAAACACTCAAACCAGTTTGGGGTTTCTTTTCCCCATTGTCTCCATCATGTCATGTTTCCTCCTGGCCTCATAACCATTAGCTTATTGGTATTTTTCCCCTCCCCTGCACACAATATGAGCGTTTGGAGTTTACACACCACAGCCACTTGTACCTTTTAGCACAGCCCCTCTTCCCCTCAGCCCCCTCCCACAGCTGACCGGCCCTTCCGCAAGCCACTTCAGCGCTGGGGGAAGACTCCCAAGAGCCGAAGGTCACCCTCTGAGTCCCTGAACTGTGGCGCTTGCCTTTGTCACGGAAGGGCCTCTCGTCTTACGACAGGAAAGGCAAAAGAAAGATTACCCTGAATTTAAGCTGCCTCTTGCTTTTTTTCTATTTAAACTACCTAGGGAGACAGAACGCAACACCACAACCTTACTTGACTTCCTTCAGGATAAATACAATCTATTTGTGAACTAGGAATTTCATATTGCCATATTGACAGTACAACAGCACTTTGCCTTTTTTAAACAAGGACAGAGTTGTCAGGTTACAAGCAGTCTGATTGCAGATGATCATTTTTAGGGCCTGTCACCACCACCTTTCTTGTGAAGAAGCTGCCTTTTTGGCTGGCTTGCTACTTCTGCTTTGTAAAACCTGTTCCTAGCTGCCACCGCTCTGTCACCACACTCACTGGGGTGGGGACTGCTGGGTGGTTTTTCCATCAGCTGGGGGCTCAGCTCAAATGCCCTACAGCAGAGCAAAAACCCCATACCAAAAGGAGGAAGAAGGAGGCGGGGGGGCAGGGGGGGAGAAGGAAAAAAAAAAAGCCCTCTGTGGTTCATGAAGCAGCCTGGCAAATTCTTAATTCTCACTTGTGAAGTTCTGCTAACAGAAACTCATTTTCAAGACATAGGACCAACCGCACGACCGCAGCGTGAGGCACCTCCACGTTTAGGCTGTGGGCGCTAAACCCGCAGGAGGCTCCGCAGGGACTGCACCGTCCCCCCGGGCAGCGCGGCCCCGGCCTGGGTGCAGCAAACAGCCCGCTCAGCCGCCGCCAGAAGGCCGGTTCAAGCTGGTGCTCCTACTTGCGCTCAGTTTTGAAGCCCATTAGACGAGTCAAAAAAAAAAAAATAAGTACATGGAAAGCGGAAAAATATCAGAAAACCATAGAGGTGTTTCAACTGGCTCCTACTTTTCCAAAACACAGTTAATTCCTTGGGCAACACCTGCCAAGGAACTGAAAACACAGACGGGAAAAACAGCACTTGTCACAGCAGGTAGAACCACTGGCCATCCACCAGGTCTTGCATGTGTAAATAAATAGAAAATCATGTACGTATACACACAGGTATGCATATAGGTAAAAGACCAATCAGCTAGATTGAGGCCCTGTCTGCTCTGAAATGGACACATTCATTTAATTCATTACATTTTTATTCGTTTTCCCCCCCCTCCCCTGAAACCGCCACCAAACCCCTTGTACTACTCACTTCCAGAGTCAACTAAAAGAAAAAACACACATGAAAAAAAGCCCCCCAAAACCACCAATGCTGTTGTCAAGATGATGTTTTTAATAAACTGCTGCTGCTCTGCTTAAGGAAATCAAAGTTCAAGAAAACTCAGCTTCCCTGAGCATCCAAACCAGCTCCACCGACAGCATCGCCTCCTGAGAGCACTGCGTTAGCCAGCCCGGTCCCGTGCGAGGCGAGCGGGCTGCCACACCGTACAGCAGCTTTGCCTGGTGGTCGGCACCAGCCGCGTCCAGCCTCGCGCCCCTGCCCTCGCCACATCTGCCGGCCTTGCTGTAAGGCCAGGGTACCCCAGCTGCTGCAATACAAAGGCTGTGCAGGTGATGCAGAGACCTTTTTTCCTTTTTATCATTTGAAAGAGATACATTAAGGTTAAAAAAGCAGGGGGACTCAAATCCCCCTTTTTTTAAATCCATTCTGTATTTCCTGCATGACCAATGCAGCGATGCTCCTCACCTCCCTGGGGAAGAGACGGAAGGGGCAGCTGTGAGGCTGTGCCACAGACCACATCCCCACCCATGAGCCCAGCAGGACCCGAGCACAGGGAGCTGGGATGGCACACTCGCCCCCAGGGCGTCAGTCCCTTCCTTCTCCAGCCCCCAGCACACAGTGGGGAAGTGGGGAGTACCATGAGGAGCACCAGGGTCATTTTCAGCCAAGGTGTTCATGGAGGAAGTGCTTCAATAGGACCATGAAAGGTCAGAAGAGGAAGGGTTGGCCAGTCCAGAGCTCTTGCTGACACAGGTAAATCACTCCCATGGTTGGGGGAAAGAGAAGCCTCTCGCAGACACAGAGGTGGGTCTTTCACAGAACAAAAAGCACATGAAGGTGGAAGAGACACGCAGTGGTGATGTACATGAACACAGCGTAACCATAGCGAGCCTTTACGTGGAGAGGCAACCACAACATAAGTTCAGAGAAATAATAC